CTTTCTGAGGCTTAGCTTATTAGTCATGGAAAGAGCCTTACAGAACCTCGAGTCCAAACCTGTTGTTATACAGAGGACAAAGTCAGGGGTCCAGAGAGGTTAACCGATTTACCCAAGATGGTACAACTGATCACTGGCAAAGCTACTCCTTCAATCTGTACTTTCAATGTGCCAAAGCCAGTGCTATATCCTGCCCTAAAATGCTACATCCTCCCTGGGCATTGTCTATTTGGCTCACCTACTTTTCTCCAATTTGCCAGATACAGATCACTGGAGGATTCTGCCAACGATCATTCTCAATATCTCTACTGAGGGATTTGTTAAATGTTATTACTGACACATAGTAATTGTACATATTTGTAGGGCACAGTGTGATCTTTCAATACCTATATATAATGTGTAATGATCAAATTAAGATGAAGAGGAATTTTATCACACTGGAGCCTAAAATTCAACAGATTGTACTTTTTTATATATAATTTCTTACATTTAACTGTTTGTTATACAGCTGTAGGGAACAATATGACAATATGGATTTTCAAAGCATGCATGCAGTATGTGATAATCAAATCAAGGCTATTTACCATATTTATCATCTTTGACAAAGAACATTACATTATGCTAGTACCTTCAATTTTTGTTCTAGTCAGGTGGTCTTTTTGAGACACATATATGATTAGCAATGTCATTTTTTTCCCTTCACTATGGACAATCTGAAAAAACAACTCTCAAAAGACATACGAATGGCCCAAAAGCATATGAAAAACATTCAAATCTCATCATAAGGGAAATGCAAACCATAGCTCAATATATATATAAAGGATTATTTTATTTAATTGTATTTATTATCATTACTATTTTGTTTAATTTGCTATGGGGGACAAGTGCTTACCAGAAAGAGTGAAAGAAAGAGCGAGCACCAGCTCTAGGACTCAAACCAACTGGCCATGTGGGAGTCCAGCACCTTAACCACCACACCACTTGCTGGATCTCCACAAACCATGGTTCTTAAGAACCCTCACTCACCCCCAGGCACTTACTGTTAGGGGCTTGTCTAGTTGTAAATGGGTTTGATGGGAAAGGTGGGAATAGTAGGGAAGGTCTGACAAGACTGGGTAGATCCCTTGCACTATGGGGAGCTCATCAGTGGGCTTGCCACATTAATGCTTCCCCTGGCGTGTCTGTGTAGCCATTCTTATGCTCTCTAATGTCACTCTTGCAGCCTCTCCAGGGGAGGCCTTTTTCCTCCAGGGCTGCTTCTGTGAACCCTGTTGTCCTTTCTTCCTACAAGAAGGGGAAAGTTCCTGCCTTGTCCCTCAGTCTGGACTGGACTTTGTCTACTCTAAAGGCTTTTTACCCCATCATGGCCAAATAGGATAGGGCCTCAGAGGAAGGGAAAGGAATTCTTCTGTGATTGTGTTTGTTTTACCTAAGCCAGCATAGGATGGGGAGATAGTTGGAGAGTATTTTACTTGGTATGTGACCAAGGCAGGCTTTCCTCCTGAAAGCAGCAATTCTTTGATCCTGGACCTTGGGAGAGACCAGCGCATCAAGCCAAACTTGGAATTAGGTTTGCTCACTTCCTCTCAGCTTCTCTCAAGCCCTTCGGTGCTAAGGTTTCTTCCTCCTCATGGAGAGACTGTTGGCTCCTGTTAGCAGGAACCCACAGGGCTATGGGTGGTAGCCAGGCCCTTCCATCCCTGGGCTAAACTCCATTGTGACTGCCTGTGTCCTCTCCTAAGTGTGCTCTGGGAGGACAGGAACAGCAGCATTCTCTAATTACAGTGCAGTTCCTTCTCAGCCCCTCCACCCTCCTGTCCCTTGGAGACAGTGATGTCTCTGTACAGGAGCAAATGAGAAAACCAATTCCCAAATTCACCCAACTCTTCCTAGTTGCAGCCCATACTCTCAAATCTCCAGTGAGGGTTCAAGGCTAACAAGTTACTTTTTGTCTACCTTTTTTCCTCCCTTCCCCAAGTCTCTTCACTCTAAGTAATTGGAGGAGTAGTGCTCCCCCTTGATGCTTTTTCCTAGTATCAGAGTACCCCCTGTGGGTCTTTGTGGGCAGCCTGAGAAGGGTAGACAGTATCCATGCATCCTTATCTTCCAAGACTCTCAACGGTTCCTGCTTGGTGGCAGGGCCCCCTTCCCTCGCCCAAACAAGGGCCAGCTCTTCAGCCCCTAGTGTGTCTGTCTGTCTCAACTTTTCTCCTCCCCTACCCCACTGTCTCTACTTGTCTGTAGAGCGCCCCCGCCCTAACATGGCGCCGAGAGCACCCAGACCTCTACATAAACAAGCCCATATTTGGTTATTGTTCCTGTTCTGGAACGCGTAGGCACTGCCTCAGCCTATCAGTGCTTGCCTGGTGGCAAAAGAGGACTGGTTCGCGGGACAGATATATAGGGAGCCCAGGTGGGCTGGGGGTAGGGAGGCTGCAGAGAAAGAAGGAAGGAGGGAGAAGGCTGGGGAGAATGGAGGAAGCCTAGGGAAATAAAGCGTTCTGGAGAAGACCTTGTCCTTCCCTCGCCCAAACAAGGGCCAGCTCTTCAGCCCCTAGTGTGTCTGTCTGTCTCAACTTTTCTCCTCCCCTACCCCACTGTCTCTACTTGTCTGTCCTCCCCAGGAACCCAGCCAGTTAGATAGAAGGCAGCCCTAAGTAAATGCAGCTTCGCAGCGATGGGCGGGCTGCCTTAGACCAACCCAGGTATTACCTGGAGTCTTCGAGCTACCCCCCACCTTCCCCCTGGCAGATCAGCTTCTGCTTATTGTTGCTGCCTTCTTTCTGGCTCTTCACTCAGTCTCAGGCTGGCCAGCAGCTCTGGGGCATCATTCTCAGTGTCATCATGTTTGTTAGACCTGTCTCAGTTCTAGGGATTTCCAAACCCCAAAACTGCAGTCTCTTCTCCTTGAATTTGTGGATAAGGAAAACGATAGCCTGTTGAAGCAAAGTTCTTGGCCTGAGCCCTTGGGCTTGGGCTTGGTTTCCTGTCAGTGAGAAGAATCCAAAGGACAGATCATAGTCTTATTCCACTGTCCTTCCCGACCAGCTGGGGTGTGTGGCTTCTTCCTCCTGGTGTTGTGTCTATGTGTCACCTGCACTCTCACTCTTTCTCTCACCCCTAGTAGTCATTGAAGAATAATCCTCTTACCCCCTTCCTGAGGGCTGTAGCCAGGCACACGCCTCCCTGCTGGCCTCCAGAGTACCCACCAGCAGCCTCGGCCCAGGATAGAAAAACTGTGCTTCAGACAGATGCACGCTCTTTCTCCTCCCCACCAGATCCCCCACCTTTTACCTCTAGCCA